CTACTGCTCAGTAAGGGTTTTACTGTGTTTGTTTATGAGGATGCATTTACTGGTAGGCAGACTTTGATCAGCTCAGATTCACTGAAGCATGAAACAGGTACAGTGCTGTAGTAATTGTTGTGGTTTGCCATGACAACTAATGACGTCAGAGGTAAATATGCTGCTAAGAATGGACGTTCATACTAAGCAAGAAGGACAACAATAAAACGAGGGATTGTATTTTATTATTCGATGGTTACCTTTTATATTTTATATGTATCCCCATGTAATTGAAAGACTGGAAGAAAACATATAATGAGTGAAGATAGGTAGGTAGTTGTTATGTGGATAATTAAGTGTTAGGTAGGGCTAAACTAGCTACAAACAAGTACAACAACCATCCTTCCTACGTTGTTTAAATGAAATCGTAGGTAGACTGGACATTTTGGCATGGGTAAGCAGCCTAGGTGCTTCACCATCATTCGAGGTGGGCCTATAATATGCTAACACATCAGTTATATAATTATGATTTGATATATTCTATAATATCTTCAACAAAAAACTTAAACTCCAATAAGCATAATTCTTTTGGTGTAACAATATCCACTGCTTAAAAAAACCCAGGATATTAACAACAAGCAAAATAATTAACTATAAATAAACATCTCATGGAGGAGAGATAATTATATTGGAGATGACTCTGTAGTAGAGGGATATATTTAAGTGGTCCCCTCGCACCAAACCAGTTACTGAAAAATAAAGCATCCTCAGTCAAATTTTACAGTAGATAAATGTAGTAAAAATAAAATTTAAAATAATGAAAATACAGCAAATTAAATATAAATATTGTCTCATTTTATCTTTAGTGTGTTGTAGATACTTTTAGTTTTATAAAACACAAAAGAAAAAACAATCTCATACAAGTGCCGGGTAGAAGCAGGCAGAAGCCCATCCCTCAAACTATTCTGTAGTAAAGAGCTGGGCCCCACCTACTCTTTACTCTAGACAGCATCGTTGTCTTTTGCAATGCACAGTAGTAGAGCCGAGGGCCTATTCTGAGGTGGAAGCTATCAGTAGCCCAGCATACTACCTAACGGAGTGCCTGTGTACACTTGGGTGTGACAGTGACGTTTTCGACATCGGTGGGTGGAGCCCTATTGTGGACACCTAACCGGTAGCGTACATGCACATCGGAAAAAAACCCCAAAAAACATATCGGATCTGTTTTTAGTTTACGTAGCTTTTAAAGTAAAAAATTATTTATTGCTTGTTGCTGTAAAGTTTATTATATAAGAGTGGCATTGGTATTATTAAATATTATAAAATAATTATGTTTTTTATTTTAATAGCAGTGAATTAAATGATGATGGCACTGCATTGGGTGTCAATGCTCCTGGTAGTGTACCGATTCATAAGCCAGTAGCCCAGCCCCAGACTGATGTAGCAAAGGTCACAGGCCCATCCCAGGTAAGTAAATGCATTACAGTGCATTGCTGTTTGTATGTAGGCCTATTGCACCTTTATGAATCCTGTGTCAATATTATTATAAAAATAACGATAATGACATTGTTAATAATAACAAAAATAATGATGGTGGTTATGATTATGATGACGGTGGCAGTGATGGTGACGGTAAAACGGTATGGGTGGTGATGAGGATGTTGACAGCAGTGGTGACAACAGCAACAGCGATGGTGATGGGATAGTATACTGATGGTATTATAAAGAAAACCTTCCTATTATTTCATTTGTACACAACTCCATTTTTGTACTTAATAAAAATAGTAGATAGTCATCTTATAATGCCTATATTTTATATCAAACTTGCCATATTTTCTCGGTTTTAGTTAAGTCTCCTGGTATTAATACAATATATCATTATCAGGAATAATTATGTCTTTCTTTTTAAATGTTCTGGTAAATGTATATATATTTTTTAATATCAGTGATTTGTATGTTCTATTGTTTAAAACTAATATTATCATGTTACATTTATTAATCCATTGTATTAGCACCTGGACACATATTTCGACTGTATCTTTTACAGTATTGCCGACAACAAATTTTCCTTGATTTTACCAAGAGATGCAAAGTACTATAAAATATAATATTTTCTCTTATGATTCAGCTTCCATCCCATATGTATCGGTATGCAGTTTGGCATGACTTGAGGGAAAATGCCATTAGAGGCACGCAGTTACAGAACCCACGTGTGCGTAGAGGCCCTGAGCGTAAGGAACAAGATTTCTACAAAGAGGAAGATGAGCACGGAAGAAAGCTCTATCATGGAATGAAGGGTCTGGCATGTAAAAACTACCAAAAGAAAACAGAGGACTGGGAAAATGCAGTGGTATGTGTGTTTGATTACCTTTTTGTTTGTTGAGAGGTGGTAAGAGAAGAAGTATTGGGAGGTGGAGGAATGAATAATTAGAGGAGATATAACTTTAGGTGGGTGAAAAGATGTAGAAAAACTATGGATGAATGGTAGGCAGAGGTGGTAAAACAAATTTGAAAGTGTAAAGCTACATGCAGGGGAGAGATCGACTGGGTTCCAGTCCCTAGAAGGAGAGAGGGAATGTTAGACAAAGGTTTTTTTTCAAATATATTTTACTGTTTATGTTTTTTTCTTCTTAAATCTGCTGCCATACTGTTCTAATACTAAGTAATATATATATTTATGCAGATTTGTCAATTTCTTCTTATTTTATTTTGAAGTGTATACTATATTTTGAAGGCAGTTCATCTTCAAATTATTTTCTGTTTTATTGTAGTATGTTAATTTATCATATCAAGAGCTTGGACACCCCTATCAACTTGAAAACTTTAGCAGAATTATGAAGAGAATATTAAGAGCAGAAAAAATTACTCTGATTGACAATAGCCTTGAAGACATGCACTCAATAAATCTCCCAATGTAAGTGAAGTAAACAAAGAAGCAACAAAAACTATTATAGTACAGTATTATATTGTTTAATGTCTTATCTTGCTACTTTGGAAAAACCTTCTTTTTTGTTCTGGTTTTTATTCTTTCCTTTTCTTCTATCCCAATATTTTATCTTTTTGCACAGGTGCTTGGATTTTTCAAACTTTGTCCAAACCAACAGTGGCAGGGCTAGGAGGATACAGCCCCCTCATCGGGGAGGCTTTGCCACCCTGTCTGGGAAATTAGAGAATAAAGGGGATAAAAAAATAATATTTGTAAATGTTTATATCAAATGTTGGCTTGAATTGGATAGGCCTAAATAAATTAATAGTTTGGACACAGATGAGATACCGAAAAACATCATCAAATGACATTTTTACAGGTTATTAATGACTTTTGATGCCTGTACCATTATTGCAACTGCAGATCGCAGCCAAACACCTTTCTTAGGTCAAGATGCCCTCATCTTATTATTTTCAAAAATGTTTTCATTTCAGAGTGGGGGATACCCCCTCCCCAATTTCCCGTCAATAAGGAAAAGCCTGATTTTCTGTTTTACGAAGAGAAGTGTAGCTTTTTTCTTGTTCTTGTTTCTTACAGTTGTCGCATATTGAACCTTAGTCAGAACTACTTCAAAAAGTTCTCCAAACTTCCTAAATGTCGTAATGTTACAACTCTACTTCTAGCAGACAACTCCATTGAGACATTGGATGGTATAGGATCCATTGGCGGAAAGGAACTTCAGGTACTCAACCTTAGAAGGAATCCATGTACTTTCATTGACAACTACAGAAAAAGGTAGGGGCTTAGACTTGAATTAAACCATTGATAATTGTGTTCTGGCGCTTAACTGTTTTTGCCAACTCATTCTGTATTTATAAAGAAATAAAAAGGGTCAGTGGCGGCACCAACATGGAAGAAAGGGAGACTAAGCCCTGTCAAAGAGGCCAAGTTTACCTTCCATATTGTCAGCCATTGTGACTCCCATGATGCCTCACCACTGGGCATTGCTGTGACTGCTGCTCAAAGTAGTGCAATTTATACAGTATTATCATTGACAGAATGCATAATTATTATATCTTTCTTTGTATGTTAAATTCCTTAATTTTTACTACTTTTAAAGGGTTTTTAGAAGTCTGCCACACCTTGCAGAATTAGATGGCATCCCAAAGCTTGATTCTGATTTGGAAGAATTTGAAGATCTTGATATGCCCACAAGAGGATGTATCCTGTCATAATTCAGTGGCGATATCAAACAACAGACATTATTAGAAGAATACCTATTTTCAAATGTACTCTTTCCATCATTTGTTACTTTTGTTAGCCATCCATCAGACCATCATTTTAAGAGAAACCAACAAATTCTGTGCTCTATACTTATAGTTTATTTTATATACACTATTTTTATTACATTTTAATTTATTTACACCGAAGGTGGGACCCTGGGTCAGAAGGATCCTGGAGCTCATCCTGGGCGGGATCCATCACCCTGATCAGATCATACTGTACCTAATGCAAAGTAAGTCTGATGATTACCCCTAAAATATAGACATACTAATGTCTAAATATTGATCACAAGAAATATTAATATTGTACAGTTGTATAAATTACTTAAGGTGAAATTAATATTGTTAGTATTGTAATACATGTCCCAATCCAATTAAACCACTTTTTGTTTCGGGGGTGGGGGAATCTTTAATTAGGAGACCTGTTTTAACAAGCCATAATTTACAGAAATTTATCTTGAGTATTATACATTTATTTAGGATTTATAGGTAGGATTTGGGGAGCTGTGAAATATTTTCCATCTGCTTTTGACATGTTTAATTTGCCTTGATGTAGGGCTCAATCAATCAAGGAATTTATATAACGCCAAAATCCATCAAAAATGTTCAAAGGCGCTCGTACAGCAAACTCTTCAGGTTTCTCTTGAAAATGTCAACAGATTGGGACATACTCAAGTCTTGAGAAAGAGAATTCCACAGAGGAGATGCTCCTTGTGGAAGATGCAATATAAAGGGGCTTAACCATACCTTGCACCCCAGTTGTATGGTGCTAACCGATTCTCATTAAGCACCCATTCTGTGTCTTAGAAAGATCCTTTGTTCAACATATATGGCAGCCTATCTGGGACTACTATTGATCTCTCCTTGGTTACCTTGGACCCACCACTCAGAACTGGTGTGTGCATTTGTGAGGACTGAGTTAAATTTGTAGCATACAATCACTTATATTATATTGATAGAGAATCCATAATTTTGTGTACTATATTTAAAATACACATACTATCTGTTGTCAATATTATAAGTAAATAAAGGGAGTTAATTTAAGCTATTGACTATTGAAATAAAAGATACAAATTTTATTATCAAATAAGTGCTTCTTTTTTTTTGTTTATTTCAAAATATAGCAGTTCAGATAATTAGAGAGAAACTGATAGAGAAAGTATAACAAGCTATAACCAGTTTTGTTTTTTTATTCAAACTTGAAAAAAATTAATGGGAATGAATAACTAAGTAAGTTACTTGAGATGTTTAGATTGTACAACTAATTTGTGGTCCAGTCATTGCTATTAAAATGCTCCGTTCCTTGTTTTGCACCGTGCGTAAAACTCGTTGGATGTAATAATCCTATTCAGCACTCCCATTTCAATATCCTGGATACACCACTGATAATAGACCTCTCTGAAATGTCAATCAAGCTTAACAACTGACCAATCAGAACAGTGCAACAATAGTAATAGCAACAATATCCAAGGGGCTGGGCTTAAGTCGAACAATTTTTTTGTTATCATTTTGGATTCGACTTAGTCAAGTTCATTCAATGTCATTTTGGATTTGACTTTGGCAAGTTCAACTGTACGATCTCATCATGCCCGCATATGGGCATATCACGCAAGATTGTCACATCAAATTTGATAGTGTGGACAAAGTGTAACAAACATTTTATAAAATTGTTTACAATTTTTTTACAATAGAAAAATAAATAAAATGTTAATATTTAAAAAAAGGAAATATTATTAATAGAAAATCTCTATGACCAGCATCTAACAAATATTATATTTAAATATTCCTAAATATGAATTATGTAATGGCACAAAAGTATTCAAAATTAGAAAGTTACATGATGTTTAAAACCTTTTCTGCATATTCATGTTTAAAGTGTTTATGCTCATCCAAAAATTATGATGAGGGGTATGATTCATATTAATATTTTTATATATTACTTATACTGTACCTCAAATATTAAATACTAAAATATTTCATATAATAAATATATAAAAATATTTAGAAAATATCTCATATGAAATAGAATGTAATTTAACTGTTCCCTGGCCAACACCCTCACTAGGCTAAATCAATTCAAACTTTCAATATAAATCTTATTAGCAAGTGAAAAGTTAAATACAAAATATGACTACTAAGATTTGGAAGACTAATTTACAAAAACAATGGCATGTGCACAAGAGCCTTAAATGCAAAGAAAGCAAATCTGACCTTCAACTACAGTATATTTAGAAATTTCCTAAGTTCAACAAATTGCAATGGATAAATTACTATTTCATTAAAAAATTATGGAAATTCATAGAAAAACAATGAAATTGTGTTATCCTGGTTTTACTGGATTTGAGATCTGGACCTGAATTTGAAATGAAAAAAGCACCTTTACCTTGACCTACTACTGTCGGTGGCAAATTCAAGAGGCCCTACCCCTCCCTCTGTTTATACTGTATATTAAAAAAAGAGAAAAATGAAAGATAATTATATTCCAATTTAAGTCTGAGGTGCCAGAATTATAAATTTTTTACCTCTTTGTTTCCTCTTTCTTACCAAAGCACCAACTAGTCCAAACTCATTACATATAGCTGATGATATGGAATGTATTTTTTTATGTCAAATTATTCACTAAAAAGTAGGGCCTGCATGGGAAATATTTACTTGCATGTAAAACCCTATTCCTACAGCACTTCAATGACACAAGGTATGGAAGTAGGTCATAACATTAAGCAAAAAACAGTGCCTTGCTATTGATAAATATATATACATAAAAATAATACAGTACATACATATACATACTTTGTTTACATTTACAGTTACATCGGGCTATATGGACCAGTACACTTGGGTAACCTCCTACTCCTCTTCAAAGATGTACAGTACTGGGTTCACATGAGCCAATTGTGTATACTGGGCCTACAGTTTGTAGTTCTTCTCCGAGAAGACTTGTTCCACCACCAAAACCTTAGGCAAGCCTGTCACTCGAACCAGCGGCGCCCCTGCCTTAAATTCTCAGCCATTCAACTCGCCAAGTATATATATTCATTCATAAATGTACACACACATCACCTACACGTGTGTGCATATATTTATCGTCTAGACAAAACAAATCAGGGGAATCCAACTACGTATTTGGTAAATAAAGCCAAGTATACCACTATGGAATACACAGTTGTAACCTTTCCGCAAGTGATTTTCAACATAACTTTTTAGTAAGCTTTGAAGGTATCATTATGCATACATTGTGCATGTTCCTAAATAGCATCATTTCAAAATTCAAAAACAAGTATGAGAAAGCATCATTTCAAAATTCAAAAAAAAAAATATGAGAAAGATAAAAATGTTAATATTTAAAAAAAAAGGATATATTAATAAAAAATCTTCATGACCAGCACCTAACAAATATAATATTTAAATATTCCTAAACATGAATTATGTAATGGCACAAAAGTATTCAAAATTAGAAAGTTAAAAGATGTTTAAAACCTTTTTTGCATATTCATGTTCAAAGCTTTTATACTCATCCAAAAATTCTTGGAAATGGAATTTTAACTTGTCTGAATCATCTGCAAACTTCTTCAACAAACTGTAGATATAATCTTCACGTTCTGTCACAACTTCAAATTCTATTTTTTTTAAAAAAAAAACCCCCAAAAAAAAGTAATAGTTAGAGAAATTTGGGACATTCCAAATTATATTAAAAAGAACGTTGAATTTCTTATTTAAAAAAGATTAAAACGATATTATTTAACAAAGCATTACTGTGTTCTTTGACCATTGGGCATAAGCGTCTTTTCACTATTCCCAGGATCCAGGAACTTGAAATGGGGGAGGGGCACCCAGAGAAAGACTTTCATAAATGGAGGAGAAAATAAAATTACTAATTATGGCACCTCTAGATGGCCGGAAATTGCACTCTCAGACTTGAATACCAACATTTGAACTTGCACATAATTTTTTTTTCTCTATTTTCTTTATAAACTGCCACCCCTTCCCCTTGGATCCAACAGTGATTCCAGTGGTGGCTTCAGGTGATAAAAAACACTAAAACACCTTCTTTTACCTGGTCTTCAAAACCATAACATAATTATAATAATAAGAATTAACATTTATATAGTGCATATGCACAGTGGGTCTATGTGCTTGATACCAAATTATAAAACCAAAACTTGTTTTTACAATTTACAAAAAAGACGGATCAACAATTCATTTCTGCCCTGAGGCAATCCCGAACACTGACATAGGTAGCACAACCAAGGAAGTCACCCCTAGAGACAAGTCACAACTATAAGCTTCTGTTGATTATACAATTAGTTGTTGGAATAAGTGGATATTTAGGACTGAAAATGTCTCAAGGGTAGATACCTATGTGTGTAGAATTGACCCAATGCATCTCATCAAAATTCAAATTTAAATAATTAAAACTTACCTTCATCCTCATCATCATCATCATCATCCTCATCACCTTTATCCTCTTTGTTAATATTGTCTTCCCTTACTGAATCATCAGTTTTTTCTCCCCGAAATGAGTACGCTGCTAATCTCCAGTCTACCTCCCTCTGCTCATCAATTTGTTCTATTAGTGACCTTTGATATAACGTTTCAAATTCTGGTAGCTAGGCAACATAAAACAAAATATATCATTAAATTAATAGTACCAGAATTTAGTACAAGAAGTGGTATTTGAAATTGACAAGCTAAATGATAAGTATATTAAACAATCACATGTTTGAAAATTAAGATCATGTGACTTACATCATGTTTTTCCAGAATGGTATTGGCAACATAATGCAATGCAAGTTCGTGATCAAAGCTCTGTAGGAACATTTTCCTCCTGCCAATTTCTTCAGTGATTGAGAGCTTCACAGCAAAAGAAAGTCTGCGAAGAGAAATGATAAGAACTGAAGCTTTCCATGTCTGATTAAAATGTAAACATCCTGCTCTGCATGATGTGTTTGGCAGTGGCATGTCTTGGGCATGCACAGTGTAGTGCACGCCCACCTTCCCCACCACCATTGAAATGGTCTTTAGCAAAAAAAAAAATCGCACGCAAGTAGATCAAAATCACCTCATATCACCTTACTTTGTGACCTATTTCCCCCTACACACTTAATCAATGAGCCTCCCTCCATCTCACTCCAACAGGGCGGCCTGTAATTACTGTAGCTTAACATAGATAGTATAGAGGTAGTGTATCTACTGAGGATGAGGGTGCACATGCCAGAAAAATGCTCCCATCTTCCAAGGCTTGACTAAAATCTTGCCAAGAAAAGAAGTTACACTCAAGTAGTGAAAATTACCTCACCCCTCTACCTGGCACACCCCCATTCCTAGTTTTCCATTGTGTCCCCATCCATTCACCTTAAGTCAATACTTCTATAGATGTTACTCACAATAAATTAAAATTGCAAGAAATCTATTTCCAAAAGCATCCTCACCTTGTTTCATTGAATGTAGAAATTGGAGGTCTTGCAGAATGTGGAATAATCCCTTCAAAAATCACCACTCTTCCATACTTCGGCAGAACAGCTGAAAAAATAAGATTAACAAATTAATAATATGTACAAACTGCTCCAACATTAGGTGCAAACTAAATCAACTTCATTTGGAACATATTGAAGACCTATTCCCCTCTATATTTGTTCCTATTAATCTTTACTTTCCATTCTATCTTTCCTGTAGCACAGAAAATATGTAACCAGCTCTGGCAAAACCAGCCATTTGTAGGAAAAATTCAAATTTGAGTTTTTGGTATTTTTTAGATTCTGCATGAATTCTTCTTTAAAATTGTATTTATATTATGAAAATTGGTGAAGTATTAGCTAAGTTAGCAATATCTAATTCATTGGATTCATGTAGGTTTTGAAAAAAAGCTTCTAAAGACTCTAAAATCAATAGTTAATTATTAAGATTTGTATTTTAAAAATAATTCTAAGATATTTTTAAGTTAGATTTTGAGATTGATATTTTACAGAAACGTTCTTTAATATATCTTATAAAATGCACAAACCTGAAAATGTTTAAAATTCTGATTCTCAAACATTTTGGGAGCTTGTGCTAAGTTAGAAATTGCAAGAAACGGCGCGTTTTGCCACAAATTTATATGGCACTTAAATACAGTATGTTCATTGCCGAGTTGATGTGTTTAGTGAGAAAATATAGTTACATGTTTATAAACAAATTATTAGACTTATTTATATCTTTTAAAAAAGAAATCCACAAGTCCTGGGTTCAATTCCTGTGACAGCAAGATATTTTCTCATTACTAAAAACCAAAGATCTTATAAACACAAGATAGCGTTCTCCGCGATTTACGCGTAACAAATAGAAGCATCGGTCAAGGTTCAAAAGTTTCCCATTTAGCAAGAGGGCGCCATTCATGTGCTATTACCGAAGAGAAAAAGTAATAAGTTTTGGAAGAGGGCGTCCTATCTGTTGCCATGGATCTGAGATGGTTCCTGTTCTGCTGTTCACAGGCGGTGTACTGTAT